AAAATAATCCGTTTATTCTTCAAAGTTAAATTTCAATAAAGATAACGGATTTTCAAAGCAATGAATGGTTTTTAGTAGCATCCCGAAAAGGATTTCGCAAATAAATATGTTTTATTAAGAAAAGAAATTGCGAAAAATGCACTCTGATATTTATGGAAAAGCGGGGTGTTACAATATCGCTCGTTTGATTTCGCTCGTTTGATTTCGCGTGTCGCGAATAGTTATAACATTTTGCATGCACCCGACAATCTTAATTCACAGTTGTCTTACAAGCAAACGAAAAAATCGATCCTACCAGTGAAAGCGGTGAGTGTATGCATGATACAACACTACAAGAACTGGTGAGGGCACCTGACTTGTCGAATTTGCCAAAGCGAACCCTCTCAAGTGCATTGTAGATTAGATACAATGCAAGATGCATTAGTTTCAATGAGCAGCCATATTTAGGCTTAGGCTTTACACACCTGATAGTGATCATAATCCTTCGATAATATTGCTCAAGACATTCGTTCTCAAATATTCACCAAAGAGAGAATCAAATCTGTTGACAGTAATGCAATCTGTAACATCCAGATAACTTCATCACTACATTCTCCAAAATTTCCGCAAAAAGAGCTGAAACAGATCAAAACATTCTCTCTCTTCAATCAATGTAACAGAATATTAACAATGAATAAATAGTGAAAAACACTCAAATAATTGTGTCCGATCCGGTGGCAGAACATTTTGATGTCTCATGAGCTTCTTCTCTCATGTCTTTTACCAACAGCCCAATGGAAATATTCAAGTAATATACAGATAAACTTGTTAATGGAAATATTCAAGTAATATACAGATAAACTTGTTAATCATGTTCTGAGTTTTCAACAAAAAATGGTTTTCATCAAACACAATCGTGTTAAGATAATAGATGGTAAATCATCCCAATGAACAGCAGTATAATAGGTTTGTGCGTTTCTCACTAACAAGGATGTCTTACTCTGCAAACCTTGATTTAGGGGGGCATTATTGGGATTTTCCTTAGGTTCGGGTCTAATGCAGATAGATCCCAAGGTTTTTAATACTAAACTGACCCTTCAAGACACTCGACAAATCTTTTCTGTCAGTGGTGCTCTTAATAAAACGAAATACTCTTTCTTTATGTTTTATTTACATACACATCCTTTAAGAATTTATCATTGCATCCCACGATTTTATTTATTTCTTATAAATCTCTTTGTGGCTTATCGAATCAAAATATCCTAAAAAAAATAAATTCAACTAAAATAACACTGATATAGTGATACTATATATAGATTGAGGAAATGTTCAAGAGAAAGTAATACCTGAAACACCATCGGGCTTTTAGTACTGCCTTACTTGAGTGGCTTCAATCCCTGAGCCCATTGAAAAGTTGCACAACAATGTTAGACAGCTGTTTTCTTTTTACATATAACCAAAATTTCAAATCCTGTCAAGCTTTTCTAGGACATCTGTAAGTGCAAGAAAAGGTACAGAGCATGTCACTTGGTAACCTACAAAACTCGGAAAATATAATCCTTCACAATCATGCAGCTTGAATTAGCATCTATAACCTACAGAACTCAGAGAACTGAATCCTTCAGTCATAACATCTGAATGTGTCCCAAAAGTAGATCCCAAGAAAATTAATCCCAAAAAGAAAAAAAGAAAAAGAAAACTTTGGCAATATTGTAACATGGGAGCTGCTTTATGGATAAACAAACCTTAGTAGCCCTGAACTCATTGACAGCCATTCTAAGGGAATCATCGGATAATATCAACCGTGATAAAGCTCCAGTGCTTAACCTGTAAATATTAGCAAGAAAGACTAAGTTTAATCTCAAAAGACTTTATTGTTTGACCATTTGAGACCAGTGAAAGAAATTAGTAAAATCAAAGCACTGTTTGTGTACCCTAACTTCTTTGCAGTATCTGAAACAGAACCCTCCACTGCAAAAATCAGATCAAGTAAAGCCTGCATTCCCTGGAGACTCCAGAGGGTAGAACCAAAAGTATGGTGTAAGCTTAGAATCACCGTAAATTCACCATATAAGATGGGACAAGGATGAAAATGCAGACCAGAGCAAATTTCGGATTTTTTGGGCCAATCTGATTCCCTTTGACTGATCCTCTGATGGTTGACTTTGCGGGAAGGATTTGAACAAGTTCTATAGGAGGCACATACGTATCAAGATCGACCTTGTTCCTGACTAGGTTAAAAAAAAAAAGGAACCTTTATTTTAGTTCCCGTCCTTAATAAAAAACACTCCAAGGTTTAAACTACCTTGTCCGAAAAAAAATTCCAAATGCATCAATGAGTGCAAGTAACCAGAAAATGGTTAAAATATCATATTTAAATAAATATCTATATACCTTTAATGGCTAAAAGTGACCGTAGTCTCGAAAGAGCCGCTGCCCGATTTTTGTGTTGCGATCTATCCTCTGCTGCCTGTAGGATTGAAAAATATTAAAAACACGAGCAGAATAAAATATGAATGTGGGAAAAAAGATCACTTGCTATCTGCATGAACCTGAGCAATAATGCCAGTTGGAAGATGCTTTATTCGAACAGAGGATTCCCGCTTGTTCCGGTGTTGTCCCCCTGGGCCTGATGACTTATAAGTATCCATTTCGCACTGGCTCATTAGCTTCTCATCTGTCATTAATAGGTATTCCCTACCACCAACAGCTTCAGAAGCGCATGATTTACTACTTGAGGACTCGGAACTGTAACTTGTTGAGAAAGAAACATTATTTTTTACTGTTAACACTGTTCTATTCGCTTCCTTAGCAGCGCGGAAGCTTACAAGTCTTCGGTAGTTGATATAACTATAACACAATGTGCATCGAGTGACAGGCCTAGTGAATATGCCGGAGCTATAGCTAGGAATTCTTAAAAGTGATTTCAGAATAGAATGAGCCATCCAGACTACACTAGCAGATGGTAGGTTTAACCTGCAAGGCAATGAACATGCAACACGTATGACACTTGATATACGAAAATGAAATGTGAAGATCAGCATGTCGATCGCATGGTCAATTAAACACTTGCAAAAATAAATGTCAACCGAAAAGCTTTGGCTGCCAAAAAATAAACTTGCCTTCTCCTCAACTGTTCCCTTATCAAGATAAAACATACTCTAACATACTGAAGACTCGCTCAACCAGTGATTTTCTTAGGTCAAGGGAAGCAATGGCGCCTATGAATACTTGGAAAAGGAAAATCACTAGTAGTTCTCTCACCCCTCAGGATTTACCTACTTTCAAACAGGTTAAAGCTTCTAACCTTTACTTTTGTTTTCTTTCTTTTTTTATTTTCCCCTTTTTCTGTTTGACACTAGCTTCATAGTTATTAATTATTATGGGATGCCATTTAATTTGGAGTTCCTCAACACCTCAACGTCTGCAGCCACATTTCTCAATGAAGTGGAAGCTATCCTAGTTTTTGTTCTACCAAACCTATATGCATCTTCTGATTATCACCACAGATTCGAAGCCCATAATAAAAGACCCCTACACAACATCTTTCATGAGTGGTCAAATATGACTAGCAACAGAACTGGCATGTTGCTTATTAGGTTCGCAATTAACAGCTCATACTGGGCGGCTTAGTCGACCAAGAAGACAACTTCTGGAGCTGGCGTAAATAATTATCCATCATGCAATTAGGCTATTTTATCAACATAAAATCAGTACTTTTACCATCAGTCCACCTAATTTTTAAGCAAACATATATTCAAACAAAAATAGTAAAATACACACTTCCATGGTCGAATTATACTTTTCAAAGATAATGTAAAACAACTGTTTTAACGAAGGGTACGGCATGTCACCATCGAGCTATGCATTTTTCGTGTGGTTTTCAGTTATAAATTAACCCAATTAACCAAATTTGAACCCTAGCTAATAACAACTTTCATGACACAAAATAGAGTAAAGCCCGTGAGAAATGATATTCAACATCTCATCCATCACCAACATATATGCACAGAAACTGTCCAGATTAACAGTTGCTTGGACACATAATAAATGCTACTGAGCAAACTCAATTTCGAGGCATATAATCTTTGAATCTCCAACAAGTGAAACCACCAATTCAGCACCAAATCAATAAAACCCAAGTACAGGACAGACAGCTGAGGACTTAAAACGCCACTAAACAAGCAAAATATTCAGAGTATGCAACGTAAGATAAACTCATAACTCCTGCCCAATTACTATCCAGCAAAAGCAAACAATACAAGCGCAAAATATTCAGGCAAAAATTGAAATACAACACCGTCGGGGTTCTGATTAAGGAGTACGTCGAAAGAAAGATGCCCCGTCTGTGAACATTCTACGATGCGAAAGCTCCTTCTATCAAGAATCAAAAATCGATCGAGATATGCCTAAGGGGGCAGCATTGAAAGCTTCCATTAACGACGTAAAAGAGACTAAGATTAGTTATAGGATTGAGATAAAGTCCCCTGAAGCTGAAGCATCGCCAGAAAGAAAAAAGTTCCGTAGAGGAATAGTGAGGGAAGCTCAGGTTTCAGGGCTGCGGTTTAATACAAATACTTACGTTTGCCAAGCCACAAATTATCGAAAACAGAAAATAAAACCAAAAAAAAAAAAAATAATAATAAAATAAAAATAAAAATTATTACTA